CATGGGGGGACATGGGGGTGATGGGGTGTATGGAAGAACAGGGAGTGGGGATGGGGGTTATGGGGTGACATGGGGTGGGGACACGGCGGGGATGAGGGGAGATGGGGGGATGTGGGGTGGGGGCATGCGGGGACATGCGTGTCTGACAGGCGTGTCCCACACACGTGTTCTGTGTGCTCTGGGTGTCCCACATGTGCTGTATGTGCAACACACGTGTTCCGCATGCTCTGTGTGTCCCACACGTGTGTTCCATGTGCTGTATGTGATTCACACACGTGTTCATGTGCCGTGTGTCCCACACGTGTTGCATGTGCTGCATGTGTAACGTGTTCTGTGTGCCATGTGTGTCCCACATGTGTTCCACATGCTGTGTGTCCCACACATTTTCCATGTGCTGTGTGTGTCCCACACGCGTGTTCCACGTGCTGTGTGTTTCCCACACATTTTCCACGTGCTGTGTGTGTTCTGCATGCCTGTTCCACGTGCCATGTGTGTCCCACATGCGTTCTACATGCCATGTGTGTCCCACACACGCGTGTTCCATGTGCCATGTGTGTCCCACATGTGTATTCCACGTGCCGTGTGTGTCCTGCACGCGTGTTCCACATGCTGTTCTGTGTGTCCTGCATGCCTGTTCCACGTGCCGTGTCCCACACGTGTGTTCCACGTGCCGTGTGTGCCCCACACACATGTTCCACGTGCCGTGTGTGCCCCACACGCGTGTTGTGTGCCCGCAGATGCCCGCCCTGCTGCAGGAGCGCAGCGCCCGGCCGTGGCTGCTGCTGGGCCTGCACTGCCTTGGGCTGATCAGCGGCTGGGCGGCGCTGGCTGGGCTGGCGCTGCTGGAGGACAGCGGGGCGCTGTGACACAACTGGGACCTACTGGGAACAACTGGGACCTACTGGGACCTACTGGGGACAACTGGGACCTACTGGGACCAATTAGAACTTACTAGGACCAACTGGGCACAACTGGGTATAACTGGACACTGCTGGAGGACAGCGGGGCGCTGTGACACAACTGGGACCTACTGGGACCTACTGGGACTCAACTGAGCACTACTGGGACCAATTGGGACCAACTGGGACCTACTGGACACGACTGGGACCTACTGGGACCAACTGGGCACTACTGGGTATAAATGGACACTGTTGGAGGACAGCGGGGCTCTGTGACACAACTGGGACTTACTGGGACCTACTGGGGTCTACTGGGACCAACTGGGGACCAACTGGGCACTACTGTGCACTACTGGCACAACTGGGCACTACTGGGTATAACTGGACACTGCTGGAGGACAGCGGGGCGCTGTGACACAACTGGGACCTACTGGGAACAACTGGGACCTACTGGGAACAACTGGATCTACTGGGCACTACTGGATATAAATGGACACTGCTGGAGGACAGTGGGGCTCTGTGACACAACTGGGACCTACTGGGAACAACTGGGACCTACTGGGGAACTACTGGGCACTACTGGGACACAACTGGGCACTACTGGGACCAACTGGGACCTACTGGGACCAATTGGGACCTACTGGGACCTACTGGGCACTACTGGATATAACTGGACACTGCTGGAGGACAGCGGGGCTCTGTGACACAACTGGGACTTACTGGGACCAACTGGGCACTACTGGGACCAACTGGGACCAACTGGGCACTACTGGGATCAACTGGAACCAACTGGGACCAACTGGGACAGAACTGGAAACAAATGGGCACTACTGGGACCAACTGGGCACAACTGGGCACTACTGAGCACTACTGGGAGGACAGCGGGGCGCTGTGACACAACTGGGACCTACTGGGACCAACTGGGCACTACTGGGACACAACGGGGCACCACTGGGCACTACTGGGAGGACAGCGGGGCGTTGTGACACAACTGGGACCTACTGGGACCTACTGGGCACTACTGGGACACAACTGGGCTCTACTGGGAGGACAGCGGGGCGCTGTGACACAACTGGGAACAACTGGACATTACTGGGATCAACTGGGACCAACTGGGACACAACGGGGACACTGATGGACCCGATGGCACCGATGTCCCCAATGGCACCAAATGGCATCAGTGTCACCAATGGAACTGAGGTCTCAGTGACGCAGATGTCCCCAGTGTCCCCAGATGTCCCCACTATCACCAGTAACACCAGTGTCCCCAGTGTCCTCAGCGATCCCAATGTCCCCAATGACACCAATGACACCGATGTCCCCACTGTCCCCAGTGATCCCAATGGCCCGAATGGCACCAGTGTCCTCAGAGTCCCCAGTGTCACCAATGTCCCCAGTGTCACTGGTGGCATCAATTTCACCCATAGCACCAATGTCACCAATGACCCCAATGACACCAATGTCCCCAATGTCCCCAGTGCCACCAATGTCCTCAATGCCACCAATGGCCCTGATGGCACCAGTGGCACTGATGGAACTGATGGTCTCAGTGACACCGATGTCCCCAATGTCCCAAATGACACCAATGGCACTGATGTCCCCAGTGTCCCCAGTGATCCCAGTGTCCCCAGTGACACCAATGGCACCGATGTCCCCACTCTCCCCAGTGATCCCAAAGTCACCAATGTCCCCACTGTCCCCAGTGATCCCAATGGCACCAATGTCCTTAGTGTCCCCAGTGTCCCCAATGGCACCAGTGTCACCAATGACACCAAAGTCCCCACTGTCCCCAGTGATCCCAGTGCCCCCAATGGCACCAGCATCCCCAGTGTCACCAATGTCACCAATGTCCCCAGTGTCACTGGAGGCATCAATTTCACCCATGACACCAATGTCACCAATGACCCCAATGACACCAGTGTCCCCAGTGTCCGCAGTGCCACCAATGGCAGCCATGACATCAGTGGCCCTGATGGCACCGATGGCCCCAGTGGCACCAATGGAACTGATGGTCTCAGTGACACCGATGTCCCCAGTGTCCCCAGGGGCACCAATGACACCAATGTCCCCAGTGTCCCCAGTGATCCCAGTGTCCCCAGTGACACCAATGGCACCGATGTCCCCAAGGTCCCCGAATGTCCCCAGTGATCCCAATGGTCCCAGTGTCACCAAAGGCACCGATGTCCCCAATGTCACCAATGTCCCCAGTGATTCCAAGGTCACCAATGTCCCCAGTGTCACTGGAGGCATCAATTTCACCCATGACACCAATGTCACCAATGGCCCCAATGACACCAATGTCCCCAGTGTCCCCAGTGACACCAGTGTCACCAATGTCCTCAATGTCCCCAGTGATCTCAGTGGCCCTAATGGCACCGATGGCACTGACGGCACCAATGTCCCCAATGTCCCCAATGTCCCCAGTGTCCCCAGTGACACCAATGCCACTGGTGGCATCAATGAGACCAATGTCCCCAGTGTCACCAATGGCTCCTCTGTCACCAATCTCCCCAGTGTCACCAAAGTCCCCAATGGCCCCAGTGATCCCAGTGGCCCCAGTGACAATAAAGGCACTGATGGCACCAATGGCTCCAGTGTCCCCAACGTCCCAGTAGTACCAGTGTCCCCAATGTCACCAATGGCTCCTCTGTCACCAATCTCCGCAGTGTCACCAATGGCCCCAGTGTCCCCAGTGACACCAATGCTACTGGTGGCATCAGTGACACCAATCTCCCCGTTGCGACCAATGTCCACAGTGTCCCCATGTCACCAATGTCACCAGTGGCTCCACTGTCACCAATCTCCCCAATGTCACCCTTGTCCCCAGTGTCACCAATGGCTCCAGTGTCACCCTTGTCCCCAGTGGCACCAATAGCACCAATTTCACCAATGTCCCCAATGTCCCCAGTGGCACCAATGTCCCCAAAGTCACCAATGTCCCCAGTGGCACCGATGGCATCAGTGACACCAAACTCCTGAATGTCACCAATGCAACCGATGTCCCCAATGTCATCAATGTCACCAAATGTCCCGATTGCACCAGAGTCACCAGGGACCCCTATGTCACCAATGTCACCAAATGTCACCAATGTCCTGATCGCACCAAAGTCACCAGTGAGCCCGATGGCACCAATGTCACCAATCTATGGGGCAAAGCTCCATTCTATGGGGCAGCAGGGCCAATCTATGGGGCAGAGGAGCCGATCTATGGGGCAGAGGAGCCGATCTATGGTGCGGAACTCCATTCTATGGAGCAGAAAGGCCGATCTATGGGGCAAAGCTCCATTCTATGGGGCAGAGGAGCCGATCTATAGGGCAGAGCTCCATTCTATGGGGAAATGGGGCCCGATCTATGGGGCAGAGCTCCGTTCAATGGGGCAGAGGGGCCGATCTATGGGGTAGAACTCCAATCTATGTAGCAGAAAGGCCGATCTATGGGGCAGAGCTCCATTCTATGGGGCAGATGGTCCAATCTATGGGGCAGAGGAGCCGATCAATGGGGCAGAGCTCCATTCTATGGGGCAGAGGGGCCGATCTATGGGGCAAAGCTCCGTTTGATGGGGCAGAGGGGCCGATCTATGGGGCAGAGGAGCCGATCTATGGGGTAGAACTCCATTCTATGGAGCAGAAAGGCCGATCTATGGGGCAGAGCTCCATTCTATGGGGCAGAGGGGCCGATCTACGGGGCAAAGCTCCGTTCTATGGGGCAGAGTAGCTGATCTATGGGGTAGAACTCCAATCTATGCAGCAGTGGGGCCGATCTATGGGGCAGAGGCACGTTCTATGGGCAGAGTCATGTTCTATGGGGCAGCAGGACCAATCTGTGGGACAGAGCTCCATTCTATGGGCAGCGGGGCTGACCTATGGGGCAGAGCTCCATTCTATGGGGCAGAGGGGCCAATCTATGGGGTAAAGCTCCGTTCTATGGGGCAGAGTAGCTGATCTATGGGGTAGAACTCCAATCTATGCAGCAGTGGGGCCGATCTATGGGTCAGAGGCACATTCTATGGGGCAGAGTTCTATTCTATGGGGCTGAGGGGCCGATCTACGGGGCAGAGCTCCATTCTGTGGGGCAGAGGGGCTGATCTATGGGGCAGAGCTCCAATGTATGGGGCAGAAAGACCGATCTATGGGGCAGAATTCCAATCTATGGGGCAGCGGGGCCCTAGTGACCCCATAACAACCCGGGAGTGACCCCATAACAGCCCCATAGAGAACCCATAGAGCTCCATAGGAATCCCATAGAGCCCCATAAGGATCCCAAAGTGATCCTTTAGAAGCCCCATACAGACCATATAACAGCCCCACAGTGACCCCATAGAACCCCATGAGACCCCGTAAGAGTTCCATCCTGACCCCATAGAGCTGCAGTGACCCTAAAAGAGCTCCATCCTGACCCCATACAGCTCCATACAGACCCCATAACAGCTCCATACAGACCCCATAACAGCTCCATACAGACCCCATACAGCTCCATACAGACCCCATAACAGCTCCATACAGACCCCATAACAGCTCCACCTGACCCCATAACAGCTCCATACAGACCCCACAGAACTGCACAGTGACCCCATAACTATTTGGTTCCGAACCAAAGAACTCAGCTGTGACCCCATAAAAGCCCCTTAGCAGCCCCAAACTCATTCCATAGAGACCCCATAGGAGCCCCACATTGACCCCATAAAGCTCCTCAGTGACCCCATAGCGATCCACGCTGACACCATGATAACCCCATAGTGACCCCATAGGGATACATAGGGATCCCAGAGTGACCCCATAACAGTCCCATAGAGAACCCATAGAGCCCCATAGGGATCCCATAGGGAGCCATTAGTAACCACATCGTGACCCCATAGAATCCCATAATCACCCCATAGCAGTTCCATCCTGACCCCACAAAGCTTCTATGAACTCAATGGAGCCAATGGACCCAATGGAGCCAATGGAACCAATGGAGCCAATGGAACCAATGGAGCCAATGGATCCAACGGAACCAATGGAACCAATGGAACCAATGGACCCAATGGAACCAATGGACCCAATGGACCCAATGGAACCAATGGAACCCAATGGACCCAATGGACCCAATGGAACCGATGGACCCAATGGACCCAATGGAACCAATGGAACCAATGGAACCAATGGAACCAATGGAACCAATGGACCCAATGGAACCAATGGACCCAATGGACCCAATGGACCCAATGGACCCAATGGATCCAACGGAACCAATGGAACCAAGGGAACCAATGGAACCAATGGAACCAATGGACCCAATGGACCCAATGGATCCAATGGACCCAATGGACCCAATGGACCCAATGGATCCAACGGAACCAATGGAACCAATGGATCCAATGGAACCAATGGAACCAATGGACCCAATGGAACCAATGGACCCAATGGAACCCAATGGACCCAATGGAACCAATGGAACCAATGGACCCAATGGACCCAATGGAACCCAATGGACCCAATGGAACCAAGGGAACCAATGGACCCAAGGGAACCAATGGAACCAATGGAACCAATGGACCCAAGGGAACCAAGGGAACCAATGGAACCAATGGAACCAATGGAACCAATGGACCCAATGGAACCCAATGGAACCAATGGAACCAATGGAACCAATGGAACCAATGGAGCCAATGGACCCAATGGAACCAAGGGAACCAAGGGAACCAATGGAACCAATGGATCCAACGGAACCAATGGACCCAGTAGAAGCAACAGAACCAATGGAACCAATGGACCCAATGGACCCAAATGGACCCAATGGACCCAAATGGACCCAACAGAACCAATGGGCCCAACAGAACCAATGGAATCAATGCACCCAATGGAACCAATGGCACCAGTGGACCCAGTGGACCCAACAGAACCAACAGGCCTAATGGAACCAATGAACCGAACGGAACCATTGGAAGCTATGGACCCAGTGCACCCAACGGACCCAACAGAACCAGTGCCACCCTCGGGTTCTGGGTGTCAGAAGGGTGAAGCTGAGCTCCCAGCATCCCCAGAGGGCTTTGCTTTCAGACGCTCGTTGCATTGCATTTATTAATTGAGTTATTAATTATCGGGCGTTAAATGAGCTCGTGTGCCGTTGTGATGTGAGCGAATCGCAGAGCGTGGGCGGGCTGGGGGCTGCGGGGACGTGGGGACAGAAGTGGGGACAGAAGTGGGGGCATGGGGACTTTGGGGACATCTGTGGGGACATTGGGGACATCATGGGGACATCAATGGGAACGATAGTGGGGACACCGGGGACATCATTGGGGATATTGGGACCACAGTGGGGACAGCAGTGGGGACACTGGGGACATCAGAGGGGACATCATGTGGACATCAATGGGGACCATAGTGGGGACACTGGGGACTTCAGTGGGGACAGAAGTAGGGGCATGGGGACTTTGGGGACATCAGTGGGGACAATGGGGACATTATGCGGACATCAATGGGGACGACAGTGGGGACATTGGGGACATCAATGGGGACATTGGGGACATCATGGGGACATCAATGGGGACAGAAGTGGGGGCATGGGGACTTTGGGGACATCAATGGGGACATTGGGGACATCAGTGAGGACACTGGGGACACGGGGACATCAATGGGGAGATCATGGGGACATCAATGGGGACCATAGTGGGGACACTGGGGGCATCAGAGGGGACAGAAGTGGGGACGTCAATGGGGACAGAAGTGGGGACATGGGGACATCATGGGGACATCAATGGGGACAATAGGGGGGGCATGGGGACTTTGGGGACATCAGTGGGGACATTGGGGACATCATGCGGACATCAATGGGGA